CAATCGTTTGACGTAACATCATTAAAGAGCGTTGCGTGCAAGATAGCCACCATAGACGCATTCGCTCCACTGTATACGATTTGGTCCTGCTTTTACTATAGCATAAACACGCTGTAGCAAAGCGAGACACATCGCTTCGTGCCAGCCTGTGGAAAGTCTCTCCGCTCGACCTTTACATTGTCTCAACATTACGTGTGTCATCATGTTTTTACCTTTTTCTTTCGCCACTTCTTCATGATTCTGGCAAATTGTTAGTTTCGTTATCATCTGCCACGGAGCCATGGCAAGCAATCCAAAAGTACTAATGTTTGTCTTCCCTCATTGATCCACGCAACTCGCCCGACCGAATGGATGAGACATGTAGCATGTCCCTCTCTTGTATATCAATTCGGGGCACTCTCCCTTTTTGGTCACCAACACAGATTACAAACGCCTTGCAACATGGGTCACAGCGTAACCATCCCAACTACGGTACACATCGCTAGCGATTTTGCCAACAAATATCTTATCATCAATGAAGCTGGACAAGGTAACTGCGGGAAAGTGCTTTTCTGCGTTTCCGCTTCATCTGCCTCAAATGAGCCAAAAGACTCAAGGCAAAGCACAGCTGTTGTCGCTGTCAAGACGGCGCAAATCGGATCATTGGGCCTCGGCCTTGCCCAGGAGATTCTGGCTCTCCAACGTATCCAGAGCCTCCTCACTGGTAGTCAGGTAGAGCAACAACTGCCGGCTCTGGTCAACTATAATCTACCAGCAGCAGAACCGAGATCACACTGGCTCGCCATAAATGCTATCCAAGGCTTCAACCTCGTCCAACTAATCAAAGCACTCATCCTCTCAGCTCCAGTTTGCAGTCCAAAAAACTCCCTCCCACATAATACCACATCTACCCCAACACTCCCCGCAACCCTCATGCTACACATCACGCAGCAACTCGTTCAAACCGTCGCATGGCTCCACACCACCGCCAACATCGCCCACGGCGACATTTTTAGCGGAAACATTATGCTCGACATCTCCCGCTGTAGCTTCTCTACCAACCCCGTCATTCTACCCTCCCTCGTCCTCATCGATTTCGACGGCGCAACCCTCGCCCCCAACGACATACTACGCGCAGCAGATCGTTCATCCGTGTATGAATTCCTCTTCTCACTGGGTGAGATCGGCGGGTTATTTAACCATGCTATTACATCGCAAGATGAAACGGGGTTCTAAGGCGAGTTGATGCAGGTGCTTATTGAGAATAGGTTAGATCGGGGTGTGCGTGCTAGTACAATGGGGTTTAAGGAGTTTTGCGCCAAGTTTGAGGGGGAGATGGTGAGGCGGGTGGAGAGTGGGGTAGATGTAGATGTGGAGAAGGCAAGGGAGTTGGTTGAGCGGGTTGTGGCGATGAGTGAGGTTGAGTTTCCGGGGGAGGAAGTGGTTAAGGAGGTTTTGGAGCGGGGTAGGGGTTTGAAATAGATGGGATACTCGTGCGCCTTAGACTTTTATAGAGGATGAAGTGGTGGGAAATACCCAGGTCCGGGGGGATATGCGGCAGATAGTCAATGGAATGGTCGTCTTATGAAGCTTAGGTATTCTCACAGCAGTGTACTAATACGGAGAGAGGAGTTCGAGATGTAGGAGTTATACTAGTAGAATGATTAAAATGAAATATGGGAAATCGGATGTCCTTTCTGTAGTACAAGACACCTCACTCTTATACTAGAGCTTGGTCAACAGTTTCGACCAAAGCTGCTCACAACCCTGTGTATTAGTATTATAAAAGAAACAAACAGAAGTGAACAGGCTTCTATCGACCGCCTACGATCGGGAAGCGGAACTAGTCCAAACCGGGAGCTCATACCTCAAGGCTTACAGAAGGTCACCACATATCGTCTTTATCTTATTTTCTGCACAGCTAATGTGCAACTTCCGACCTGGAAGTGCATTTTCTGACCATCAGAAAAAAAAGACTTACCTTATGTGGGTCTGTCTAGACTGCCGTATAATGGATCCGAGGGGTTCCGGACTGTGACGTCGCCTTCTCGGACCGGACCGAACCCTTTCCCGGCCATGACTAGCTCCACTCATGTCTCGTTGAATAAGCAAAGGCAGTGTGTCCCGGCTATATGTATTTCTAAGGCCTTTACTGATCCTAGACTTGATCGAGTGCGGATGAAGCGGGGATGGTTGACTCCGCGATAGGTGGTGAGGACGAAGTGCCTAGTATGCATGGGTAGGTTTCATCGGGATAGCGGTTCTGCCTAGTGGGGTTAGAAGAACACGATGTTCACTACGGGATACCCGGTGGATCAAAATTGTCAGACTCTACGTCGGTTAGTACTTTACTAAATTTGACAATAAGGTAGAAAGTCAGCTACTTGAGAGATGCACAACCCTACCGCGATATTATACTTATCTCAATCTTTTACATATATCATCTTTGCGATGTACCAGTGTGATATTCACAGGCAAGAAAAACTTAGAAAGGCGCGAGTGGTTAGTGCCACTGACCGGAGGAAGTATGACCTGTCTTGGATTCTCGCATTTTTTGTCGACTGGATAGGAGGTGACCGCGACAGTTTCCATAATCATACTAGTACTAAGGGTATTATCGGGGCTGTTAAGGTCACACCAAGGGCCGGTCCGAAAGAAACAAGGGTACATCCTATATTCTCGTCTTTTCTTCCAATGATATTATGAACATGAGACTTACAGCTTATCAAATTAGATGAAGATATGCCTATACCCTTTTCTATACTCTTTTCGAAATAAAATACGCACTAACAAAATTTGTACGTACGTACTATTGGTGGTTCAGCGCGTACGGACGTTTTGGCTCCTGTGAATCCGTAACACAGATCGTAGATCAGATTAGTAAGTTGTATACTGTATAGGCTATATGGATGTAAGAGACAGCGTTGTAGAGTCTTGCTTACACATAAAATTGAATGCTGGTCAGGCCGCCAGCTATATAATAGAGTCTGACAATGGTAAAGAAACATTATTCTCAAGCAAGGCAATCTCCACTCCTAGGAGCCAACTTCTCAACGCCGGTATATCTGCAGCAGCTCGAGTTGGTCTCGTCAGTTCGACACGACTCAATACTTGACTTTTTTCATACAAACCAACGCCACTAGCATGGATCCGAAGACAGCGGTCGGAGTTCCACAGTTTCTGCAGATGACGGGCGTCGCTGTCTTCATCTTTGCAGCATATGCCATATGGCCCGTAATACAGCGCAAATGGTATCTTGCAAAGTTTCCCAGTATGAACGAATATGGAACGGGGGAGAAGTATCGGCAAACGTATCTCTCATCAGCAAGAGAGATTTATGAAAAGGGATATACCAAAGTAACATCATCTCGCACTCGCACTCGCACAAAGCTAGACACTGACAATATTCCAGTTCAAGAACTCTTGTTACGCACTCATGAACGAACAAGGTATATTGGCTCTCTCTCTAAAAGCACACATTTACCCACTACTCACGTGTTCGCAGGTATACCTACCGTCGTCATTCCTGCAAGCCTCCTGCCAGAACTACGAAAACTTCCCGAAGACGTTCTCAGCCGCAGAGAGGCTATATCCCAAGCAAGTTAATTCACTCTCATGGTAAACAATATAGTTAACCGCCTGCAGCTAATGGAGATTGATCACACACGCATGGACCCTGGTAGCCCGACTCCCACCAATTCTGTCAAAGCTGATCTTACGCCAGCGCTAGGTGGGTCTTAAGAAATAATGCTCAAAAGTTAGTGTCGCTAACGCCGTTAATAGCCCGGCTGAACCCGACCATCTGCAATGAGGTTGATGATGGACTAACAGAACTAATGCCGCCATGCAAAGACTGGACCGAAGTCAAGATCTTCGACACACTAACCCTCCTCATCGCAAAGGTCTCCGGTCGTGTCTTCGTCGGTCCAGAAGTGTGTCAAGATCCCGAATACATTGATACCGCAGCCAACTACACATTAGAATTCATGAACGCCGTCCATTCCGTCAAGGCGTTACGACCGTGGCTAAAGCCCTACCTGGGTCCGCGCACACTAGAAGTCAAGAAGCTCCGCCAACGCGAGAAGCTCGCTGAAAAGATACTAAGACCCCTCATCGAAGACAGAATCCAGAGAAAGGCCAACGACCCTAGCTGGAAGGAGCCAGATGACTTGGTCCAGTGGATGCTTAACAGGAGAAACGAACAGGAATCCGTCAAAGACCTTGTCCAGTATCAACTCACCATGATATTCGCTGCAATCCACACAACAACTGCAACCGCCACTAGCATCTTGTACACCCTCGCTGTCACACCGCAATACATCGAGCCCCTCCGCGAGGAAATCCGCAGCGTCCTGCCCGCCGACGGCGCCATCACATTCCGCGCACTACAGCAAATGGAAAAACTTGACAGCTACATCAAAGAAGTCATGCGCGTTTCCCCCGCGTTCCTCAGTAAGTCCTCCCTTAAACCTCCTTCCCCTTTTAACCTTCTTCACTCCCCAAAAAAGAAACTAACGCAACCCTTCTTTTCTTTTTTGCTACAGCATCCTTCGTCCGCTATGCAAAACAAGGCTTCACACTAAGTACCGGCGCATACATACCCGCAGGCGTCTACATCGAAGCCCCCGCCTTTTCCATCTACAACGACGCGCAGTTTTACGCATCCCCAGAAAACTTCGACGGGTTCAGGTCGTATAGGATAAGGAGGGGGAGTGGGAAAGCGCAGGATATTGCGCGGAACCAGAGTGTTACGAGTAATGAGACGAATTTGAATTTTGGGTATGGGAGACATGCGTGTCCTGGTAGGTTTTTTGCTGTGAATGAGATTAAGATGGTTATGGCGCGTGTGTTGTTGCAGTATGATGTTAAGATGCCGGGGGGGAAGATGGATATGTATTCTCCGGTTGAGTGGGGTACGCATAGTAATCCGGATGCAAGCAAGACGCTTTTGTTGAGGAAGGTTGAAGTCTAGAGTTAAAATTTCTTGATAGAGAGATATGTATAATTTTACTCCACCACTACTACATCAACACATCCAATCCCTCATCATGCACCTTAAGACTGCGCTCCTTTTCCAAAAACATTTCCTGCTCAACCCTGCTCTTCTCCACGTCGACGAAGAAGTACAGAAACGCACAGCTGGCCAGACTCAACGAGAACAAGAAGTAGAACGGACTACTGTTGTTTCCCGTATCATCAATAATCGCACTACTCACCAGCGGCCCAATGAACGCGCTCGTCTTGCCTACAATCGAGAACAGGCTGAAGAACAAAAACTCCTTGCCGCGTGGTGTGACTTCAGAAATCATTGTTTGTGAGTAGCTGTACCACGGACACACGAGAAGACCGTAGAAGGCCTGGTACACCCAGACCTCCCATTTGTTGTGGAAACCGAAGCGTTGGGTCCATATGCCGATCATGCCCCAGCCATCCAGCAAGACAATGCAAATAGCCACGACCATGAACATTGTCTTTGTCGAAAGCCCGTACGACTTTTGTATATGCCAGAATGCGCCGATACCGACAGCCTGGGCAGCGATGCCGACAATGAGCAGGTAGGTCAACTGGAGGCTGTTGTAGGCGACGATTTCGTTTTGCAAGGTGCCAATTACTGTGACGGTGGTGTTGAGGCTGTCGCCGAGAAGGAAGTAGCCTGCAAGATATGCGAGACTCTGTCGCAATTGCCAGATCTGCTGCGAGGCATAAATAAGCTGCTTGAAACCTGCTATGATAATGTTGCTGCGCCCTGGATCTTGGCCTGGACGCCGCTTTTCGAGAATGAACCAGGGGATCGCGCAGAGGATCCAGACACCCGTTGCAAACGCGATGAGTACGGAAAGACCCCAGTTGTTGTTTGCCGCGCTGTCGTTGACGTGGAGCGCAAACATTATGCCCACGATGACGGCGAGGATAAGGATCTCGAAGACCGATTGGGTGTAGAATGCTACGTTGGACAGCTCGTTTCGCTTCATCATATCGGCGAACTCGTACTCTGCACGGTCAATCTTTCCTTCTGCAAACTCTTCGGCCTTGATACGCAGATCTTTGGTGTTGCGCGCGAGGCCAGGGAATGCAGCGGTCCAGAAAGTGATGGTGGTCTGGTACGCAATGAGTCCGACAATGTAGAGTCCTACGCCAATGTGCCATTTGTCTTCGGTATGGACGCCCAGCCAGCCGAATCCAATGCCAAATGCGATTATCGAGAGTACGATGAGGATGTTTGGACGCCAGGTGCCGAAGTCTGCGAAAGAGCCTAGGATCAAGAAAATAACGACCTGGATAGCGAAACTTATGCCGTTGCACAAAAGAACAATCGAGTTGATGCTGCGATCCCGACCCATGAAGAAGAGAGTTTCAGAGTCGCCGGCAGCCAGATACATGAGGTTTTGAAAGGCCGTAGGACCAAAGTTGAAAAGTGTCAATCCGTTGTCTCCGACATAGTAACTAATGGCCAATTGTTAGAAGGGTTCGACACAGCCAGTACATGGCGCGGTAACAATGGTTTCCAGAGAGGCGTATACCTACCAATAATACGCCCAAATTTCCCATCGCGAAGTTTCGTAGCGCTCGTCGAATTGGTCGGGCGCGACTGGTGTATCGGCCTCAACAGGGACGTCCACAGCACCTTTAATCGGGTCATCACCTGGCGCGCTGAGTGGCGCAAGGCCCGGCTCGTTGGATGCCATGATCGGAGGACTCTTACAACGAGGAAGAGCGGCCCTGGGAACAGTAAGAAAGGCTGCGAGACTAAATGTCGCGCAACCTAGGTCTTTTTCTATGCCGCACCGGTATTCCGCTAAGCACCCACCCTAGTCATTCGTCACGCCCCGTGGGCCGGAGATAGCATGGCTCGTTGATAAGAGAATGCATGGGGTTGGAAATGTGCGGCAAGCTGCAAAGCCGGGAGAAACAGGCCTGTCACCTAAGGACTTTGCGCGATGCATCCGGTGTATGATTGGGGCGAATACGATCAAGACATGCAAGCTATTGCCAAGTGGAGCTTGGTGGGTGGAAGCGATGTGGGGTGAAGCTGTGAAACCCTGAAGACTCGGTGAGCTAGGCTCGAGCGGGAATGGCCTACGCCACCGCCGTCGAGTCTTTGCAACCTGACCCGCTTTAGTATCTCAACCGAGCTTGCATCGGAAAGCGGCAAATGATTCTTCAGAGCCACCAGGGGCTTGAGTGTAATATGATAAGGTTTGAACATGTGTTTGGTGAGACTCATATCACCGTGTTGTAGCTCCAAACTTTGCTCCACCATGGCAGATACACGGACAAGAACTGGTTTTTTTTCATGTTCAATGAAAAGGAAGATTTGTTACGATCAGGATGTTCTGAAGTATCAGCGGTATAAACCCATGATTACAGTTGGGTACATTATCCATTGATTACTACGTGTTTCCTTTTTAAGAGCCCCGAATAGTCTGACTTGCTTCCTCCTCCGCCCCATTATCGCAACCAACCTCGCTGCCAAGGAAGCGGTACCAAGCGCGTATCCGCCTCTTCTCAATGTCCCAAAGCCCTCTTCAATTTGAAGGCGTCAATAGGAAGTCCACTACCTTGAATCCAATACTATCCTCATGAAAAGTGGTATGCAAAGGGCCTTCCTCGCAGCTCCTAGCAACAAATTCGAAGCATCACCGACGCACACAATTCGTGTTGTCCGCCTGGTACTTGAGCCAACGCTTCAATCTCATCGTATTCATTTTCCAGCTCCTCCGATAGCAATTCACGCAAATGACTTACCCAGTTCAGTAATTTCCCAAGCTCATCTTGGTGCGAAACCTCCATGTGGCGCCGGGGGACCTTGACCACCGGACCACGTTGTGTTCGTATTCGCTGGAGCAGCATTAGCACCACTCTGCCTTTGAGCGTTGTGGTTCATGCTTGGCGTAGAGTTGTTACTGTACAATGGACTCTGGAACGTTTCTCCAGTTTGGTAGTTGGTAAACCCCAAGTTGTTATTTATGGAAATAGTCGATGTTGCTTGGCGCCACGTTGCTTGATTCTGCAGCAAAGAAATCGTTGCCATAAGTAGATGGAGTGATGTTACCCTGCGCGTTCGGGAAAAACGACGCGTTCGTGCTGTTCGATTGGTGCATATGGCTGGGCATGAAGGAAGGTGGAGGTTGCTGTACCATGCTGTGGTGAGGCTGCTGTACGTTACCGGTATTGACAGCCAAATTTACATTGATACCATGGTTTGAGTGAGTCTCAGTCGGCGACCCAGCATTGTTCAATCTCGCATTCTGTACAAGACCTGGCTGCTGCTGCTGAGACGACAGGGGACCTATGGGTTGCTGTTGTCCCATTGGACATCCAGGTTGCATCTGCATGCCATGCTGTTGGACGGGAGACGGGCCATGGCCTGGAAAGTATTGTTGTTGTGCGATCGGAATAGGTGGACTTTGGCAAGCCGAACTATCGAAACTTACGGATGGGTACTGCTGGTATCCAGTATTCTGTGCCATACTCATGGGCTGCCTTGGTACGGGCGGAGCTTCAGTCCTCGGTGTACCTCCGCTCGGTCCTGCGAGCAGATTTGATCCCATACCAAAACAATTCAAGAGGAGAGACTGGTTACATGCACGTTGAAAAGCGGCCGCAGTAGCTTCAGCGTTCCTGGACATGTGTTAATTATACTTGTACAGATCGTTTATAACACTGTTTGACTTACCCATTCGGACTGAATCTTCTTTTCTTGTCAAATTTGGAAGTCTGAAGCTGCTGCTGCTGTTGCTGTACGCCAGGCGTCTGAGGGGTGTTCTGCATCGTACGAGTCGCCACCCGCAATTTATGCTTGGCATCCTCGGCCTCCCTCTTCGCTTCTTTCAATTCCTTCGCAATGATATCTAATCTGGAACGCCAATTCAATTCGGCGTCCTGGAGCTTTATCTGATTAGTTTGCATCAGCGCCATCTCTCGGCTCTTGAAATGGGCTTGCTCCGTTTCAAACTTGGCCTGTGAATTTGCCATCGCATCTTTGTCTTTCATAGCTTGCTCCTTGTCCTGCTCTGCTTTGGCAAGAGACACCTCCAGTCCTATGATCTTGTTCTTGAGGTCCTCAACGATCTTGTCAGGTTGTGTCTTCATGTTAACGTCCTCTCGTTGATTAGCTAGAGAGCCAGTGTGGATTTTGCGAAGTTCCTCTTCCAACTCTTGAATCTTAGCGTCTTTGATGGATACTTCAGTTTCAAGATGCGCGATTCTGACCTCGAGACAACTGATCCGTCTATTGGCCTTGATCGAAAAATCTTTATGTTGGAAGGCCTGCTCCTTCATCGCGTCTTGGAGATTTCTCGCCTCGTTGTTGGCATGTAGCCTCTCCGTGTAGCGTGTTTGGGCGCGCTGCTTCGCTGCTGCAGTCTCGGCTTCAGCAGCAGCTGTGCTTTTCACAGCTTCGGCGACGCGTTGGCTAGACTCGGACACTGCTTCTGCGAGGTGCACTTTGTCTTGCTCAAGTTCAGCGATGCGACGCTCGAGGGTGGCGATTTGGATAGGACATGGCGTGGGCGGCGAAGACTCAAGAGACTTTGGGGCCGACATACTGGATATTGGTACTGGATCCGTCTGGCTTGCAGCTTCTAATGTAGGACTTGAATAGCACGACTTCGCTGACATCGCCGCAGGAGAGGTCACTATATAAGGTCAGCGCAAGTGGAGGTGTTGTCTAATCAAAAGCCAGACAAACTAGGACCCTACTCGATGCGCTGCCGCATGAGTGTGCGACTGTGATATTGTGTCGGCTATATTTTCGCTTGAAGAGCGATAAACCAATGCTAGGGAGGGGTGGAAATACCTTTGCGGAAAGAAGCAGGTCCAAGTGAGATATTGTGTGTGTTGTGGGTAGTCTCACAACTGGGGAATCCGGTTAGCGTGAATTGTGTTGCTGAGCAAAACACTGAGGTACTGTCGTTCGAGCTGTTTGTTATGGAACAAATTTTTCAGTGCGTTACGTTCACGTTATCGCACTGTGCTGTAAATGCCTGGGCACAGTTAGGGTGTCTTGTGTGCGACGATATAATCAGTTGAAATTATTTCATGGTCATATATCTGGCAGTGAAGGTCATAACCATGGTTAGGTGCGCTAGCCACGTGAGTTTGGGACTTGATTTGGCGAGAATAACAAACTGAACGCTGGTCCCGCTTCAACACAAGGCGCAATACGTGCACGTGGCTGCGGCATTCTAATTTATGACCGTGTATTGTGTAGACTGTACGGTATAAGCGCGATATAAGTCGGTCTTGCACATTCCGGTCCAGCATATTCGGTATGCCTTATTGAATCCCTTTAGATTGGAAGTGAGTATCTATATTTTAGCTGACAGCGCTCAAGGATAGAGATACTTAAAAAATCACCTACTTTGGATGCACAAACATATTGAACGGCTGTATTGTCACCCAAGCCACGGGTGATGCGAATAAGTGTGCATTGCTCTCCTTCACTCATTTGCCAATGAGTCACACATTCTCATTTTCCAAAAACAAGCCACCTTCTCTTCTCTTCTCTTCTATCTTTCTCCGTTACCACTGTTATATCGCCGACTGTCACGTGCTCATGCACGATACCAAGCTCATGACACTCCAGTGCACTGGAAAACGAAGTGTTTGAATACATCTGACTTGAAACAGACGACACCCTATCTTATCACTCATCGCGTAAGTCTGTACCCGTACGCGATACTAAAGGTCGAAACAGAGTAATGAACAGTGCACGCGGGGTACGAGACAAGAGTCTGACTTGCCGATAGCCGTGGCGCTAGTAGTACCATGTGGCATTGCTTGGTACTCACACTCACTATTTCCTCGGCTTTCTACCCGCCGCATCTGCACTTTACGTAGGTATGTAGTATCTATACGAGCTTTCGCCACCAAACTCCTCTCACTTTCCCAGATTTTGCCGTTGACAAAAATGCCGAAACCGTAGTGACCTTAAGGATGCGCTCGATCACCCCATCCCACCTTTGAACAATGGGTCAATGCAAGCGTCATGCCGGTCACGAAGTGCCGAGCTGGCTGGATTCGAGTTCACAATGCGCCATGGAGTCGCGCTGTTGCTTCGGTCAAACCACGGAAAATCCAAACAATTGGAAAGACTGCCCATGTGAAATGCACTGAAACCCATAAGACTGGTGGCATCATCTGCTGTACAACTGACATTTGCGCTGATGAGGAGAGAAGGTAGTTACGCATTTGTACGCCTAAATATAGCAAGCTCCGCACAAGACGAGGAGTGACGGATGATGATCTGCAAAATGACGTATCACGCACTAGCACTAGCACTAGCACCGGATGTGACCCCGTGGGTGTATTGCTTTCAGAGGCGACTGTCTACTACTACAGTTACACTTGGTTGCTTGAGAGAGAAAACCACTGAGGAAAATCTACTTCCTCAATTTTTACATGCACAACTTAAGTTACAAAAGAGAAAGATTACCATCTTCTATAGATATACTAGCGGTGACCCAAGCTGGTCCAAGTACACCAAAGAGGTCTAGGGTGTAAGTAAATTGACATGGTCGTTGAGTTCGGATGTTACTACCACGCCAGTGTTTGTATCTATCGGTCCGCAAATGGGGCGACTTGTTTTGGCTTGGACCCGACTGCGGCGTCTTGCGGGTTAGCACCAGATGTCGTAGTAAGTAGTTGAGGAAATGATGTACATTCGAAGACCAAGGATGCGGGAAAAGGGAGCGTGTGTACTACAGTACAGTACTTACATATAAATACAAAGACCCCAAACCCCCCCAAGGAATACTTCACACATCCACCATCCAAACATCTTCTCTACCACATACACCAATACAACAACACACCAAAAAATATAAAACACCTTTAACCAACATGCGCTTCTCAACTATCGCCATGGCTCTAGCCTCCGTCTCCTCGGCCTCAGCAGCCATCTACGCCATCACCGTCCCCGCCGTCCTCACCCCGAACACAACTTTCCCCCTCACCTTCAACTCCAACCTCGACGCGACAAACTCTCTCGACGTCGCCGTCGCCTACGGCTTTGGCGCACCACCCCCCTACGCCGGCGCCCTCGGCTTCAACTTCAAGACCATCTACCTCGCGGGTGAGGAGTCTGGCTACAAAATGGGCACCAACTACACCGTCGACGTGGTGGCGCCTGCTGCCATTGCAGGATACAATGGATCCGTTGTTGTTACCGCGGCTGTGTACCAGATTTTCGGCTACTCGGGTACTTACTTTTTGAAGACGTTCAATGTTACTGTTGACGTTGGTGATGCGTCGCCGGATGATGGTGTGGTTTTCAATGGCGATGGGGACAATAAGGCTACTTGTAACCTTTAGGTCACGTGTGCGTGGTAGTGGGTTATAAATGAGAATGGAAGTCACCGACGTGGGAATGATGGTAGACTGTGTTTAGTAATGTTAGAATAATGTCTGCAATAGAAAGATATTTATGTACATAAAGATGCGTTGGTGATTCCTTTTTTTTTACCGTTTTTCAGCAACACAGGGCAGCTATAGTCAATACTTTGTTTGCTGCGGGGACAGTTGCAGGCATATCCACAAGACGCAAAGTACAATGAGCAAACTTCATTTGTGGATTGTCAACCTTGTAATTCTGCGCACAGTGAAGTTGTTAGAAAGCCTCATCGCCAGGCATTGTACACCAATCTGCTGAAGCATTCCACTGGGCCGGAACAATAAATGCCAGAAAGAAAGGGTAAAGTTGGGTGGGAAGTAAGAGTGATGGTCTTGAGCTAGAAGAGATGGAGTTATGTACTGTTTACGCTGAGTTTCTTTTGGAAGGCACCAGCAGCAGTAGTGGCTCCCCATTTTACCCTATCCTGCCTTGCCATTTCCATCCCGAATGCAGGACTCTCATCCGCAAGAATTCCTGACCTCTTCTGGTATCGCTGTGAATACTTTGGCCATAACATCGTCCGTACCATCAACCCAGTTCCTCCTCTCCTTCTCTGCCTTCTCCGCCTCAGCATGTATACACTCAACTTCTTGCTAGACCACTCCAGCGATAGCCAGCCCCTGCCACTCTTCACAATCTCTAGTAGCGAAGTGAAAGGCCTGGGGACGGACATAGGGACGAGCAGCACGCAACTCAAACACCCTCTAGTAGAGGAAATTGTACAATCCCAGCCTTCGAGGATACAAGTGCGTTCGTTCAAAAAGCAGCAAAAGTCTGGACTGCTGCGAACTGCTGTACTACCTCGGATGCGGAGATTGACGCACTCCGATTGGTGCGTCCACGGAGAAGACGATACGGTTGTGGGGCATTGGCGGGGTCAATTCCACTCGTCCACCCCGCCATTGCTATCTCTCTGCTATCTTGGAGACCCAAACAACGTGACTCCCTTTTCCTTCACCAACCCGTCGCTCATTCTCGCCACAAGCTCTTACCACACCATTCCCAATCACCCATTGCCTCCCAAGATGAGCACCGACGCAATCCCCACCACGCAAACAGCAGGCTGGATCCAAGACCCCGGCCCAGACTGCGTCCTCCAGATCCGGAACGACGTAGCCGTGAAGCAGCCATCCGCAGGCGAAGTCCTCGTCAAACTTGAATACAGCGGTATCTGCCATTCGGACTGTCACAACCTCGCTTGGCCAGGCAAGTACACCGAAGTGCCTGGCCACGAGGGCGTCGGCACCGTAGTCTCGCTGGGTGCAAATGTGTCGTCGGAGCTGATGGGCAAAAAAGTCGGCATCAAGTGGCTGTGGAATGCATGTCAAACGTGCAGTAGCTGCAAACAGGGCAAGGAGAATCACTGTGCCAAGCAGAAGAACACCGGCAGGAATGTGTGGGGCACCCTGCAGCAGTACGTCGTTGCCGATGCGCAGTTTGTGACTAGGATCCCAGATGGCGTCAAGAGCGAGATTGCGGCGCCGCTTCTGTGCGCGGGCTTGAGTCTAGCAGGTGGCGTGTCCAAACTCGAGCCCGAAGTCAAGCCTGGCGATTTCGTGGCTATTGTCGGTGCGGGCGGCGGCCTGGGACATATCGGTGTGCAGATTGCGAGTATCAAGGGGTACAAGGTGATTGCCATTGACAGTGGGGCTGAAAAAGAAAAACTCGCAAAGGAAATGGGGGCTGTGGCGTTTGTCGACTTCGCAAAGCAGGATGTCGTGCAGGCCGTTAGGGATCTCACCAATGGCGAAGGCGCACACGGCGTCATTTGCGTTGCTGGAAGCGAGAAGGCATATATCCAAGCACCAGACTTGTGCAGGAACAGTGGTGTCTTTGTCTGCGTAGGCTTGCCACCGGATACCTTCATGTTCCCTATGAGTCCCATCCACATTGCTAACAAGGGTATGTTGTCTTCCCAATCCAACTTATCTTGAACTGTCATTGCTAATTTGATAATATAGGCCTAACAATCCGCGGCTCATCCACTGGTAGCTCGAAGCAAATGGACGAGCTGCTCCAGATGGCTGTCGAGGGCAAAATCACACCAAAAGTCGAAGTCTACGACTTTGCTGATTCACCTAAAATCCTGCAGGAATTGAAGAGGTACGAGGTTACGGGTAGGAAAGTGGTGCGGGCGCCATAAGAATCTTGGGGGAGTTGTGAGTGTGTATGTTTAGTTGATGTACATTGTGGTAGGAGTTGCGAATGCATCAAGCACGGAGTTTTGTCGAGTTGAAAGTCAGAAATTGGAGTTGAAGAAGAAAACAAATGTACATTTCATCCGCTCATCATCGCGCGAATAAATGCCTAATACCAATCCCCCGCCTCCTCATTCGCCGTCACACCCGCCGGATTCATACTCAACACCCTCTGTCCCGGAATCGTATCCGTAAACGCGCTCTCAAACACGCCACTAACAGCCCTACGCCCAATCTCCTGAAAACTATCATACTCATCGTTCTCGCCCGTGATGGCACTCCACTGCGCATCCATGGGACTACGGGCTGGTCCCAGATCACTCCAGCGCGTCACGACGAGGGCCTGCTTGAAGCGGCCATGCTCATAACTGCGGACTGCCTTGTCTTCTACGAGTTTGAGCTCGAAGAGGTATTCGGTGGGGCATTTGGGACAGCGACGCATAGGACGGCAGGTCGAGCACAAGGGCACCATGCCGAGGATTTTCTTGCCGAGGTTGCGTTCTTTGAACTTGTCGATGGCGGTGGTGTCGCTTTCGCTTGCGTAGGGGATGTGCGAGAGTGCGCATTTGGGGATGGAGGTTAGGATGCCGTGTTTCCAGTGGGCGCACACGCTGAAATACGGTGTGTAGTCGCCGCGGCTGAAGAGGAGGAGGCGCTTTGCGGCGTCTGTGAGGCCGCCTTGGACGTGGTGTTGGGAGCGGACGCGCAAGAGGACGTGCCCCTTTTCGGTGATGTGGTAGGCGGATTCGTGCGTCCAGTCGGAATATGGGTCTTTCCAGCGGCGCGCGAGAGATTCATGTGGGATACCGTAGTCCGGGCCGTGAGCCCAGTTTCGGCGGGCGAGTTGGATGAAGGCGAAGGGGAGGGTGCGGCCGTCGGTTAAGCGGATGCGGGGAGGGGGCATGTGGATGTTTGTCATGTTTGGGCATTCGAAGAGGGGGTTGAGTACGTTTTGGGGCTTTAGCGATTCGAAGCCGGGTTGGATTCGGAGATGCCATTGAGCGCATGGGAAGCAGAAGAGATGGCGTGGCATTTTGGGGTCCATGGCGAGTAAGAAGTCTAGCCGGTGCGTGCGGTGCACTGGGTCCAAAAGAAGTTTGTATGGGTGTTTGCCTAGTCGAGCATACATGGTCCGGCATGTTGATGATAAATTGGCAACATCCAAAGGTGATAAAAAGTCGGCAATACGCAGCCACACTTCAGGTGATGCACTGGCAAGCATCGCCGTTCCATCAGGTCGTGAAGGGTCGTAAAGGAGAGATTCGTCGTCTTTCTCCTCTTCAATGGTGTCTACTCCATCGATATATGTAAACGCATGCATCATCTCGGTTAAGTCTTTTCTCTCTCCTGTATCCTTGTCAAGAACATCATCTTGTCTTGTTGACGCCGAAGGCGCTCGATGTGCTTTGCTGAGTTTCGAAGGCTGCGCTTTCGGCGGCGAGTACGGGCGCATATTCTCGCTATGTATCTGTGGCAGAGACCCTGACCTTGAGCTCTGTGGGTGATATAGTGGTGCGGCATATTGTGGCTGTCCCTCTGAATTGCGACGGTAGTCGGCTGCTTGCAAATCAACAAAGAGATGTGTATTGCTCGTGTCAGTGAGAGCATTGATGGCAGTGTACGGGTTATCGCGCAATGCATGCGGTGCAACCCCAATAACATCATTGTATCCCGGAAGGCCAAATTGAGTTACGGTTGAGCCGTTTCTTTCGTCGGTGAAACTACCAGAGTCTTGACGTGCAGTCCTGCCCACACTGGCGGTCGAGTCAAGCTTTCCAAGCATATCGCTTCGTGATCCTTTCTTGGAAAGCTTTTTCCGCGCGCCATGCGGCTTTGCTTCTTTACCAGATTTCATGCCAAACATGGCCCGGAAGCCACTCTTTTTGGTTTCCTGCTCTGCCATGGTGAAGTGGCTGCCGCTGACTTGGGCGTGTGTCGTGTTTCAAGAGGAACAACGCAGAAAGGCCCTTCTACGGCTTGACGAAGAATTGAGTAGGACTGCGTGTGATGCATGAATACCGTTTACACGGGAGAGATGTTTCTCAACAGATGATGGGAATTGCCGCGACTTGGATGACGATCGTCATAGCGCGACGGCGGCTTGTTTCGGCAAGGATCCGAAAGCATCCGCCCAGTGTGAGTGTGCGGTTAAGTACTCTAGGGCTGAGTTATCGATAGCATGCATGTCATGATCAGCAAGACGCCGGTGGTGAGCAATAGGCTTGAGCGTTCCCGGCGTCAAATTGTGCGGACAGGCGGGCGACGCGTGGGGTGGCAAACGCGAAATATGCACGAGCTGCTTAGGCCACGTGATGTAATATGTCAGACACATGTGATTCGTCTGCCATTGCACGTGTAGTCTTATCACACGTTCTGTACAGGTGCTTGTTTCTTGTCTTGCTTCTCATCAAGCCCTGTGATACTGGAAAGTCCCGGCTCATGCATACCCCTGAGGTATTCGAACCTGTCCTGCTCATTGTGTGTTCACCTATCCAAAGAAGTCTTTAGCGATCATCCTCTGAATTATAGCGTGTGGGAAGAAGCGAGGCAAGACTAAGTGGTAGCGCTATGCGATGGTCTGAATACCTGATGAATAAGATCTACAAAAATCTTCTTTAGTGCCATGTTGAACCCATGTTGAAGTACGGAAACGGGGGTATCATCGTTGAGTTTCCACCTCGATATAAAAAAAACGCCTGGTAACCCGTTAAACAAACCGTGGAGCATTGTTGAAGCCACAGTTCCCATGCCTTTCATACATTCGCTTTTCTTTTTAATCCTCCGCCCTCTTCTCCGCACCATACCCGCCCTTGCCTTCTAAATTCTGATAACTCAGACCCTCTCCCTTTCCATTTCTCGGTCCCCTTTCATCCAAATCTTCCTTGAGCCACCTGAGCACGAGTTCGCCCAACTGACTATTCCCCGTGTACTGCTGACCTCCAGCCGCTTCAACCTTGACATTCATTTCCTCTGTGCTGCCCCACTTCTTCACCTTGCCCAGACTCATATGTACCAGATGCGTTGGCCATGTAGCAAGGTTATCCAGGATATGCGTCGCATAAACAATCGTACAAGGCCTTGTCTCAGTTTCCTTCTTCAAGAAGTTGAGAAAGTTGCTGCGCGACAGCAGATCCAAATCTACCGTAATCTCATCGAGCAGCAGGATGGTCCACGGCCTCAAAAGACCCATGGCGAGCTGCACACGCCGTCTCTCTCCGTCCGAGACGGCATGCATGCGCCAGCTCAAGTCAATGTCGAGGATGCGCACGAGCTCGTCACGGCGCTCGGCGTAGTGGTCGCCGCCGACAGAAGAAAGGAGCGTGGGAACATCAATGTCGGTGCGGACAATGGGGTTCAGCACCCATTCGAGACCAAGATATGTCACGCCCTCCAAGCCCATCTTGAAAGGGTCGATACCGGAGATGTGGACGGTATTGGCGGGGGCCATGCGCTTGCCCGAGAGGAGACGCAACAATGTGGTTTTACCCGCACCGTTGGCTGCACCATGTTAGTGACCTTGCTTTGGTATAAGTGTTACAAATCTTGGAATTTGCTACTTGCCTCCGATCAGCAATGTTCTGCTGCCCGGCGGCAGGTCGAGAAAGACGTCCTTGAGCCCACTCGAGCCGTCGGGAAAGGCATAGCTGAGATTTTTCACGTCAATCGACGGCGCGATTTCTTTTGAACCTGTTGCTCCAGACATTTTTCAGAAAGCCTCAAGCAGAATACGCGTGTAAATGGCTGTTGCGCCCTTTGGTGGGGAAGAAGTGTACATCTTGCGTGCTAGACGGCCGTAGAGTCATTTTGGAAGGCTAGACTCGAGATGTGTGATGCCATCATTCCTGCGGGTGATCTAAGCTAGTCCGGATTAGGCAAGTATCAGACTCACGGAAATATGTATTCGCCATACTTTTCCATTTCTACGTACCCCTGTTGTTGTGATTGCCTGCTAAGACGCTAGAGATCGGATTATCGATTCATGACAAGTTACTGATTCATGTTTTGTTTCGCGGGCAATATGGAAGATCGACTAGTAGGTCGTTTCTTCATCTATTTTGTGAGCGCTATCGGAAATACCAGGGCCGCGCATCGAGTAGTTACCAATAGCATCCTTGTATGTTAACACAACGTCGCAAGTCTGGCCTGGTTTTCACAAGTAATGCACGGTAAGATAAAGTTTGTAGAATAGCATCCATACAATATGTAATCAAATCCCGAGGTTGTGCATATCTATGTACAAGCACTAAAAACCCAACCTCGAGATTCTCATACTAGAAAACTCCGAATCTGCACGGATCCACGTGCACTACTAATCTACTATACACCAGCATTGTTCACTGTCCATGTCCATGTAGAGCCCCCAAGCTCCCGGTGTTACCAGGAGGCAACGGCTGATTTAGAGAGAAACACAGCCGTTGGAAGAGTCCTCAAGGAAGAGACCACCGTAGATCTGGCTCTCGTCAAGAGGAGACTCCTGGAAACCAGCATTGGCAACATCAGAAGTACCAGTAGGCTTCTTGAGCATACCGCAGTGGTACTGGCCGCCACCAGAGAGGTCAGCGCTGATGGGGCCGGCGACCTTCTTGAGGGCACTCTTTCCCTTGCTGTAGAAGATGGTAACCTCGCTACGCTGGATGTTAGCACTGTATTTCGCTATCATTATGAGGAATTGGGTCAGGAAAACTCACTTCTTAACGTAGTCGAGAGTGATAGCAAAGTTTTGCCAGTTGGTGAAGTCGATGGGGGTAGCCCAGAGCTGCTTGTTGGTGCGGTCAAGAATCTTGAAGCTGCTCTTGTCGGCATCGCTCTTGCCAATGAGGGTTCCGGCCTGGAATTGGATCTGGTTGCTGCTGAAATCAGCGGCCTCGTGCCACACGTTGAGGTACTCGTGGGTCAGGTTCAAGGCCCTCTGGGGGTTCTGCTTGACACTCCAGTGGAGGGTCTTGACGCCCTTGCCACCCTCGCCATCGGCAGCATCCTTGAGAAACTGGAGCTCAGCGCGACGGAATCCAACCTGCTTCATGAAGATGGATGCATCGGAGATGGTGAGCTCGAGAGGCTTGAAGCCACAGTCGAAGCGGGAGGCCCCAACATTGGGGAACTTGAGAATCTGAGACCAGGTCAAGTTGTTGCCCTTGACGAATCCGGCATTGAAGAGGGTGTTGGTAGCAGCGGAATCGAAAGACTCGAGGGTGGCGTTCAGAGGAACACGGCCATCGAAAACGATGGGGCACTTGGGAACAGCACCGCCTGAAGAGGGGGCAGCAAGAACAGCAGAGGCCGCTAGGGCGATGGAAAAGAGTGTCTGGGTGAACATGATAATTGCTGAGAATAGAAGTGTCGTCGAGACTGTGGATGCAGTTGGTGTTGTGGAGACGGTTTCACTGGGCTAAGCTTTCGCTTTATACCAGTTGCTGGAATACCAAGCTATGTTGCAATTATCCTAGTGAATATACTTTTACCTTCTATATTGCCTGTAAGCACAGCATGCGTCCGCCGCGGCGTCTTTTGCTCGCCGAAATAGAGGGTTTCATTGTACCTTTCATCTGCAGGTAGTCGACTCAACGGGATCGCTAGCCTATGAAAACAGGGGAACCAGGCACCTTGCGCGTTCCACAGTAGGTCCGGCGACGTCAGAGTAGGGCCGCATTAATATGGGAAGGGTGCGTCCTCGCCTTACCACGGCTTGTCGCTGGGCTGTGGGGTAAAGTCCACACCATTTAGTGTATAGTTTTTAGTGCACTGACAAGCGGTCCGGCCACCCGCTGCTTGGGGCCAAGGCTTTCGAGAAGCCGATTTAATATCGACAAGCGTGTATACGTAGTATACAAGTGGAGATGAAGCACTGCTCCGCGCAGGTGACCATGGTGTGTGTGGAGAGGGCAATTCCTGCGCTTTGCTTGTTCCTCCTGCGCATGAGCTTAGCCGTGTGTGTGTAGTGAATGTAACAGCATGGGCGCTGTTCTTGCCTTTGATACACTGGATTCCTCATCACCTTGGTCGGAGTATCATAGAGTGGGCCTGCTCTGCCGGGCAAAATTGTCAAGGGAACTCCCGAATAGCACCGTAAAACACGCCAGCGTCGCCAAGAACGAGCAAGGGCCGCGAACACGACCGGGCGCTTCGTTCAGTCAAGGTGACAAGCCGTCCGACGAGCGGGATATGCGTTGGGTGCGATTGTTGACGATGTCACTCGTGAATACAGCAGGGAAGCCGACATATAGCTTCCGGATGCAAAAGTTTCCACACGTCCCGCTGCTCCAAAAGGGAGAGAGGCCCGCGCTCCGAGCTCCAAGTCGTGCGCCGCTAACCTTTCGCAGTTGCGGCTTCATAGTCACAAAGCTCTACTGGGGTCCCAAAGCGTGGGCGGCAGCTGTAATACCTGGCGTATACCAGCTTATAGTCGAACTACATTTGTCTTGTACTATCTGATGTGATCCGGACAAGAGCGGATCCTAGATTGCGCCAAGGGGAGCAGGTGGTCAAGCCGTGTTCAATACACGCCCATCCACGCGTCTCCAATCTCGACCTTCACAACAACATGTCCTGGTTGCCGTCTTTGTCCCAGTCATATGCGGTATTGTGTTCCGCCAACGCGCTGCTTACCGTGCTTCGCATACCCAAATCATGTGCCAACCTAAAACGCCATGCATGAACATGCTGACAAGCAACCGCAAACGCCTCCCTATACACGGCCTGAACATTATGTACTCTATGTCCCCGGTACACCCCCTCGTCCAGTCTAACCTGCCTTTGGAGTAAGCCAGGTAGCCTCCTCACAGCCTGCGTAGAACTCTCGCTGTCCATTTTCTCCCTCGACTCCAAATCCCATTGCGCGCAGCTTTGCAGTATCCCAACCGCTGACAAATTCACCCTGTCCGCCATTCTCTCGATCTACCGCGTCACCAAGCTTGATGTAGTCGGCATGGCGGCAGACCGTCTGTGAATATGACCATTGTAAACAATTGTTGTCATTGGCGCATTCGGAACCACAAGAACCGGCGTTGTGGTGCGCAGGGCGGTCGTTAGGGACGGGTGCGGTCGAGAGATTATCCCACCATTCGCGGCTGGGACCTTGGGAGAGGAAGGCGTGTGTGTACGAGAGAAATGATGAGTAGGTAAACGGTTTCTGTGGCCATCATATTAGCAAAGTGCATCAGCGCGCATGGGACACAAGACTCACAGTGTTGTATGGTCGGGTCCGCTCCCACTTCCAAAGATCCTCCATCTGCTGCGGCTTGACCTGGTGCAGCGAAAGCATGGGGACACACCACCTCTCCTTTGTAGTGACGACATCTTTGACCTTATCGCTTGCAAATGTGGGGTGCATAGGCGCTATCTTGTGTCCTGTCGCGTTCTGGATGGCGTAGGCTAGTACAGCGTCACCGCGCTGCTCTTCCTTGACCCAGTTCTCATATCGGACGCTCAGGCGATTTTCGCGCGGAATTTCTGTCGATCCAACCGTTTTGGCAGGGATGAGTTTCTTTACCAGACCCTGTGAGAGGACGATGCCCGCCCCGCCGTAGGCGAATTGCCGGCCTTCAGAGCCTTTGTGCGGTTCGCCCATGTAATGAGGCTCCGAGGGGTCCAGCTGGCTCAATAGTCTGAATAGCGTGTCCCAGAAAAAGTAGACGTCTGACTCGACAAAGACAAACCACTTGGCCGTTGGGTTGGTGATGTATGCCTTATCAACCATGGGCAGGTACTTGAAACGGTCGAGCTTGAACGACCGCTGTTGTCCCTTGACTGTCTCGCCCCCTTCGTGTGCCTTTTTCTGCGCGACATAGGCCTCAAAATCGAGGTTGTCCTTTTGGTAACTCTTGGGCAGCTCCGCTAGAATATCAATGACCTGTCGGTCACCTAGTCGCTCGTCCCTGTCGCCGACTATGATCAGGTTGGTGATGCAGCTCGAAACCGTGTTGAGATGCGCTTTTGTTTCGTGTGCGCCGTCCGAGGCCACCTTGAGTACGACCTGCACTTCTTCGAGCAGCTTGGTTGGGAAATTCTTGCAGTAGTCGAGCTCAATCGAGTTGGCGGCTTTTGTCTCCAGAGGCGGAAAAAACGACTTGGTCTTGGCCTTGTGTACGGGCCCCTGTGTACGCGACCCTGTGCGGTGCGAGAGAGAGTAGAAGAAGAAGAAGAATAGGAGGCCGGGAAAGACAAATCTCCATGGCCGTCGCGCCAGGCGGCCAGCCACTGTTCTCAGCATTCTGTTATCGCTATGGCCCCCTCAAGGCACCGTCGTCGCGGGGGGGAAGAGATGGCGGTCAATGGACAAGACAGAGGGGCTGGATTATGACGTAGGGCGGGCGCTGGATGGGCGGGCGACGTCGCCGTGGCACATTGGACGGCCCTTTGGTCTGTGGTGGTGGTAGGAGTGATGTATGTAGTTGCAGGCAGCGTTGAGGGCGCATTGGTCCACCCGTCGGTTGTCGTCCTGCGCCAGTCCAGCCCGGCTCCCTGAGTCTGTCAGGCCCAACACGCGAGTAGCTAGTCCACAAGCGGTAAGGCCGCCGGCGCTAATCCTTTCCCCACGTCTCCCGCTGCTCAACATCAACCCCAGGGGCCTTGTAGAGAGGATCTCTTTACAGGCCCATACACATGTACGTGGCCTGGGGGTGACGTTGACTTAGTGGGGGGGCCCTGTTCTGTAGAGATGACCCCCTGTGGTAAGATAACAGGCCGACAAGACACCCGTTCGTTGCTGATGTAAGAATACTTCATAACGATGACTGAAGGATGCATCGAGGAAGTGAATGAGACATGGGCATACAGGAGAGAGAATTGTATTGCGTTGATTACTTTCGTACCAATCTATGCAAGAAAACTTCAAGGAGATAAAACTCGTCACTGGAAAATGATTGAAGACCGACTGTATCAATGGGTGTTTGCTCTACATGAGTATTTTTGCATATAGAAAAGGAGATTCATCCAAGTTTCCTGCAAGGCCGCATAGTCATTGTCAGAAAATTGTCAGCTTTTACCCACAAGTCGTAGCGCTTTTGTACTGATAGATTACTTCACAGCTGTCGTATTAGCTGATACTACATTACTTGTTCATGTATTTTTGGCAGGACTAAACCTTTTCTATATATGTTTGTTACATAGCGTATCGTATTGATCATATTAGAACCGAATATTAGGCAACACCTCAACCTGACGGAATCGGGTATTAAAAAAAGATTCTGCAGTCAAAATAAAATGATTCGGGTTGACTTCACCCAGACCATGCTTTCTAAAATGCCTAAATATAGGATTTTCTGGCCCTCTAAAATTGGTGCCGTAGTTGGAGAAGAAGAAAAAATTGAGAAAGCTTCTTTAACACTAAAACTTGGGTAAACCCCTCTCTACGGGTGATTACCTTAAGGGGAATCGGTCTTAATTACAAACTAGTGTTTATCATCTAGGGGTGAATTTAATTTTAGAGAGAAAAACACTCAAGCTCTTGACCTTACAGAATTTTTAGCATCGTGGGAAAAGAATTATGGTATCCTAAAGAAAACCTACTCCGTTACCCCTCCATATATATGATTACAATTTCCTTTACATTACAAACAAAAGTGTAGACAACAAGCATCCACTACTGCTGTACTGAAATGAATACTATTCTGAATAACTAGAGATTTCTGACATGCCTTACTGTCAGATACACAACACTGATGGAGCAAGAGGCGACAGCGGAAGATGTCTATCTCGATAAGCTATGGAGAATAAGAATGAAAATTGTAGGGAGTCCCGCTAGATCCATAATTCTACCAACTAATGAAAAGAGTATAATGCAAGCAAAATAGGTAAGACAAATGGGAATCAGGAAACAGTCTGAACTCGAGAATAGCAAACGAAAAAAATCAATCTTCAGATAAACACGAACATAAATGTACACCATTCAATCATCGCATCTTTGAAATCCTAAGAATGTTCTATCGGATTTCTAGACGTCTTCTACGCGATATTAAAATTGCAGATTTGCCATTTTGAAAAGTGGGTTATGAGGTACACAAGGTCTAAATTACCAGGAATCACGCTGCATCACCGTGTGGGAATCTACCCGAACCATGCACGAGCACATCATTCCGAATGTACATCCAAGTTAACAATCTCAGACACTGGTAGAGGCTTGTGGGAGAGAACGCATACCAATGCGGTACATCGGTCCCGTGGCATCTGAATGTGAAGTACTCCACATCCATCTTTGGACTGGCAATAACCTCTGCAGATATTGCAGAAATCACATCAAGTTTAACCCCGATATTAAGATCTCACGACACCTTCCCCCCGGAATACATGGGAAACAGGCTAAAGGTTCAACGTCGATGATGGTATACACGCCATATAGCCGTTGTTGTTTTGTAAGCACATTCGGCTATTCCTGCCGGCCCTGCACCTTCCCCGCTTCCATGAGCGACATCACCACTTCCAGTCCGTATACATAAATAGCAGTAGTTCTCATTCTCGTTTACTTTAAGAAAAAAAGAAATTTGTTTCTGTATAACAACTCGCGTTGCTCTAGAACCAAGTACTAGCAATGCCTTCTTCAACCGCTGAGTAACTTCACCAAAGCTGCACACACTTACAACTGGTCGTCACTAAACGAATATAGTTTGGTAAAGCTAGCTCAAACGCTTATCCGCGATGGACCAAAGAGAATTGCGCCAACATTTCGACGCATCCGCGGCCTTTTCAACGGGAGATACGCATTCGATACTACCCAGGCACGTCACGTGTGGGAACTTGACTTGCGCTATCCACAGTACACCAACAAGCCCTTTTCCGTTCGGGGCACTACAGATGCTTACCATAACCAAGATACTTCATCCCGATTTCAAGCTTCACTTCCGACGCAAAGCTATCGAGAGAAGCAGCAGTCGACAACACCTCCAACGCCGTTTACCTCGGCACCCTAACCGTGGGCACGCGTAGCACGCACCGCATCCTCGTCTTCTCCTCGGGCATCCTCAAAGACCTCGTCAAGGTAGATTTCCCCGCTATAGACCAATGGTTCGAAGAAGACACGCGGATATACTGCCACCCCAAGGACCCCTACAAACGCATTGATATTTTGTCGTCAGCCCGCAGCATCAGAGTCGCACTCGACGGTGTGACGCTGGCTGAAACCACCAGCGCGCTGTTCCTGCTGGAAACGACGCTGAGAACGCGGTACTACGTTCCTCCTACAAGCGTTAGTTGGGAGTTTCTGGAGCCGAGTGAGACGAAGACGCTGTGTCCGTATAAGGGGCAGGCAGAGTACTATCACGTGCACGTTAATGGGAAGGTATACAGGAATCTGGTGTGGTATTATCGGTATCCGACGATGGAGAGCGCACCGATTGCGGGGTATTTGTGTTTTTATAATGAGGCGGTGGATGTGTGGGTTGATGGGGTGAAGGAGGTGCGGTAGTAAGTAAAAAGGGTGAGAGTGAGGGTTCAAGGCGCGGTGGAGAAAGCTCGAGGGGATCATTGGTGAGTTGTCGCATTGGATAAGGGTTTTCTGGGAGAACATTGGGGCAATCTGATCGCCATTACCGATTGCCCTGATATGGCTTTCAACAAGAAAGTCTGGATAAAAGGGATAAAAGGGACTCAGGGTATCTACGTTACGACCAAAACCCTGTAGGTCTTGTCGCCTGGAAAACCGACATGCTTTTTTCTTCTTCTTTGCGAATATCGCACGATCGAGGGTTTTTTTGAGAAACTCTAATTTTGATTGGACGGCCTTTTGTGACAATATATTTGGCACATGCTAGATGTCTTGTCTTTGTCATTGTTCAAATGTTAATTTGTGGTCCTGGGGGGTTTGTTCAAATCATGTCAGTCATGTCCCGCTGCTATTTGCGTTTACTACCAAGACATGAGCCGATAGCCGATGGAACTTGAAACACGGTTCGGTGTCTGGGAAGGGACTGGGTGTAGCGATGGCGATGGTAAAAAATTCATCTATCTATGACCGTGTTGGGCAATCATGTTTGGCTCACCATTCTCGCTTGTCGTCATGGAGAGAAGACCGGTGTGGTCGAAGCTAATTTTGAGGGGTAGAGGACAGTGTCATAGCCAAACTGCTGTTGAGGAATGTGCTTTTTCATGCTGGACGGTTGGGACTGGAGCCCTGTGTGAGGTGTCGACTGCAGGGCTCGAGGAATTGTCGTTGCTGCTGCTTTTTCCTCTGCGGTATGATGATGTTGGCGGTGGGAGCGTGCGATGAACCATGGATTGGGGATGGGAGATGGCCTTGGAAAGGGTCGCCGTATCGAGAGAAGCAAGCATTAGTCGGCCAGCCTTGAGTCGCATCCTGGCCTTCCTCCAGCACAGCCGCTATTGAGAGATTGGGATGAAGCCGCTCTTGGCAATACGCTAGCCCCTTTGGGCGGCGGCGGAGAAGGACGAAACATGCAGAGCCGGGCTGGATGCGCCATTTGGCTGCCTCGCCTTGGCAGGGGGAGCGGAAGAAGATTGCTCGGTCAGCGACGGATTGCTTGTCGGCAACACTGGACCGTTGCGCAGAGGAGGCAAGAGATGGATTTCGACATTGGCAAGCAGCTGGTTGCGCACACCATGCCGACAGAGCCGACGGCTGGCTCGGCGGGCGCCGTGGCAAGACGGGAGAGGCGCGAGTTGGGCGCAGTGTGCTGTTGATGAGGACGACTCGCAGCAGCACACCATTATCGTCGGCAGATTGCACTACTTGGGGAAAACGCTATATCGATGTATACTTTATGCGCTATCCCCGCTCCGCCTGGTACCGGCAATGCGCTGGTCTGTCAGGCGACCATCGTATTGTCTGCGGGTCCGACAGGTGCACCAAACGCCCACCACCCTGCCGGGCACAGGCACCGTTGCTTCCGCAGAGACGAGGCCGTTTTGACATAGCACATACCAAATCTCACGTGTTGTTGTTCCCGGAGCAGGTCGAAGAGAAAAAAAGAAAGAAAATGGTAATTAGAATGCCAACATGCGTCTCGCCACCAGCAGCCCCCCCATTGTGCGAGAGAGCACAACATCCCAACCGAACGTCATGGCCAAGTCTTTCCGCTCGCCTCTGTTCAAAGCCAAGGTATGGCTTCTCGTATCTCTGCAATGACTAAAGTAGTGAACAGATGTGGATGGTTTCAGCCATGGCCATCGCATCCGGGGCCGGCCAGCAGTCTGTCGGAAAGTCGAACGCCATGATGGAGCATTACCATCGCCATGTGCTTTGGACAAGTCAAGGTCGTAACGTTGAGGCGCCGTCACAGAGGTACATGTGTAAGTATACACTACCACTCGGATGCTGGCGCTCTGGATGCCCATGTAGACTGCGCATGTAAGTATGTCTGGAAGAGTGACATCGATGCTGTGCCCCACAAACGCCCAGCAAGCCATAGGTACATGGCGTCCACATCCGTACGCCCCCAGTTGCGCATCGCAGCAAACCGCCAGCGCCCATACGCCCGTCCCACGCATGATCTGCATCCGCCTAGAAAAAGTCTACCCGAAATAGCTCGTGCCGTTCCTGCTACGCCAGGGCTGCCCAGGAAAGGGCTTGCATGCCCAGCTCGCTAGTCCAATCTCTGCTACCGCGGTGTCGGAGCCGAAGATATATGTATAGGAGCCTCGCGCTGAAAGTGATCTTCACGAGTTATCGTCTGCTCTCATTGCCCTTCCCTTCAATCCCAAAGGGCATCGCGGCTCACCGTCCCTGGAAGTCCTAGACTTCTGTACATTCGCTTTTGCACCACACTCGCTTACCTTTACCAATCATGTATCTTATCACATTAATAGGCCTCGCGGCCGGACTTGCTACCCACGCTGTTAACGCAGCCTGCAGCGGACCCCTTCAGATTGACGACTTCTCAAAGTGGTCTTCCAAGCAGAACAGCTTGGGCACCTGGACCAGCGGTTCGTTTTCAATTTTTGCCCCAAAAATAATCCGTACATATACTCATTCTTGCAGATGATTCTTCCATGCCATCAATCTCCGCCTCCAACGGTGTTCTCTCCTTCAAGCCCAACGCCACCTCCTACTTCTACGAGACTCTCCCATGCCAGGCTGCTTCTTCCAATGGATACAACTCCATCACCTTCCAGATCAAGGGTCCCGCCCAGGGCTCTGCAACCCTGGAGATCCAGACCAAGGGCAGCTGCTCCGATGCTGCATACTCGTCCAAGTGGGTTACTCTGACTGGTCTGACTGGAAACACCCAGACCATCACCATCCCTCTGACTCAGTTCTCTGGTGCCAACGCCAATGCCATCACTGGATTCGTCTGGTCTACCTTTTCTTCCTCTTCCACCACATGGCAACTCAGCAAGATTGCTTTCGGGTGCAGCTCTACTGGAGGCAACCCCACCTCGACGAGCGCGACCCGCACTACCATGCAGACTGTCCCCGTCCCCACTGCCACTGGAACCTGTGCCCCCTTGGTGATTGATGACTGGGTTTCCCAATCCCGTCTGACTTTCCTGTTCTACAACGCCATGGGATTCCCCACTTCCGACGATAGCACCATGACCTCTATCACTGTTGGAAAGCCAGCTAAGAACCGTGTCGAGTTTGTTCCCAAGGACGGCTCCTACTTCTACAGCCAGTTCCGTTGTGTTGACGCCAAGGCCAAGGGATACAACGGCATTTCTCTCCGTATCATTGCTCCTGCAGGTGCTTCGCTCAACATCCAGCTTGACTCTTCAGACGACTGCGACCCGACCAAGGCCAAGTCGTTCTATGCCTCCTCCAAGGATCTCGGCTGGCAGTTCGACGGCTCCGAGAAGCTGTACACCATTCCCTTCAGCAAGTTCTCGGGTCTCAACACCGCCAAGCTCACCACCGTCCTTTTCTCTGGCTTCACTGGTACCACTTCGTTTGGCCCCATGGCATTCTACTGTGGCAACTCCGGAGAGTACATTCCTCCACCTACCCCTTCAGACTCTGGTTCTACCGCCACTGTCCCTGCACCCAGCAATGCTGCTGCTACTGGCCTCGTCATCGACAGGTTCGCCAATGCTAACAGCAATGCGATGGGCAACTGGCACGGTGGTGACGAGGGCATGACTCTCAAATATGAAAGCAACAAGCTCACCATCACCTCGCCTGATGCTGACTATGCCTTCTACACTCAGGTGTCCAGTGGATGTTCCGACTTCACCAAGTACAAAGGTTCTTACCTTCACATTGCTTACTCTGGTACCACCGACTTCACTGTCGCCTTCCAGCAGCACAACAGCAAGTGTGACACCGCCGTCGCCCCTTACCCTGAGACCTGGGACTCTGCTGAGGCCAAGCGCTATGCTAAGAACGGTCACATCTACATTCCCATCAACCACTTCAACATCAACCTTAGCCGTGTTGTCGGATTTGCTCTCAAGGGTTTCCACACTAAGGAGTCTGTCACTCTCTCCCTCATTGAGATTGTGTCATCCGTCCCATCCACTGTCAAGATCCCCAGCAAGGATGAGACCGGCAACCTTGTTTTCGCCTGCAAACGCCCCAACTCCTTTGCCTTTGCCATTGACGATGGCCAGCCTGACCTCGCCCAGGAGGTCCTCAAGATCATCCGCGAGGAGAACATCAAGGTCACCTTCTTCACCGTCGGTGCTCCTCTCCTGGACGCCTCCACCAACCTGACCAACGTCTACAAGGAGATGAGCGCCGCCGGTCACCAGCTCGCCCTCCACTCTTTCACCCACCCCAAGATGGAGGGTCTCCCAGACTACGCCTCCATCGACTGGGAGTACAACGAGGACGTCAAGGCCATGAAGTCGCAATTCAACGGCTTCCAATCCAAGTACTTCCGTCCCCCCTTTGGTAACGAGGGTGCCCGCATGCGCTCGCGTCTCACAAAGGCCGTCGGCAAGGACGCCCACATTGTCAACTGGAGCGTCGACGTCGAGGACTGGCTCTGGGCCGAGACCGACACCCCCGAGCAGCAGAAGGTTGCCTTCCAGCGTGACGTCAACAAGGGTGGTAACTTGGTTGTCCTTCACTACCTTTACCCAAGCACTGTCAGCTACCTGCGCGAGTTCATCCAGATTGCCAAGAAGACTGGAAAGCAGCTTATGCGTGTGGACCAGTGCATGATGGATCCTAATGCTCCCCCTCTATAAATGCATACTAGAAGGGAGGTGTGAAAGTTTTTGCTTTTCTTCTTCTCTTGTACTATGTTGGATTTTTGGGAAGGAAGGGGCGGGAGATGCTAACGACTGTTTGTTAATGTGGATGAAACAAGAGTCATGTTTGTAGATAATTTTCATCCCTGAGATCTTGTGTGTGTGCATGCTATAAACATGGAGAGACCTTGATAATTGTCAATATATGAATCTTTGGACCAATCTTTCGTTTTTGATGTAAACCATGGCGTTCCTAATAAGATTGTACGCTCTACGTTTTGCGGCAAAAATATCGATAGCTTCTGCGTATTGAGCTCGTTCAAGTAGTGCCGGTGCAAGATTACCCGTACGAACTTGACGTATCGGCGGTTCTTCGCAATACCCTTCCCCCCCCTTTTTTTGGGGGGGGGGGGGAGAATTTTGAGAGTGTGCGGGAAGTTGAGGGTATGGTGGAGCTCCTGATAAGGGTTTACTTGACACTGTTCGTAGGCAAGCTACTAACCAGAGACGGGCTTGTTAATATTGAGTGGTCTTGGTGCCACGATGTTGGCGTAGCTTGTTGACATCTGACGAAGGTTGCGCAGGAGATCTTTCCAAGTACGACATGTGTATTAATGGGGGAGCATGAGGGATTGAGAGCGTAGAAGACTTACTTTACAACCACTGATTTGACGCGCCTTGAGTGTTTTTGTCCTCGTTCACTGTTGTGACTGGAATACTAACCGCAAGGTCAACAAACACGAGAAATCTCCATGTTAGCGACGTTGAAAGAGCTTTGGATTCCTGTTTCTAATATTTTTTTTCTACGAGTAGAGCTGATAGTGGTTATTTCCGCTTCGACCTGAATTCCATGAATGGACCGAGATTTCACCGACGAGCTATTCAAAGGGCATTCAGCCCGTCACAACAGCCAATTCAAGATAAGTAATGATGATGTTGTGCTACTCTTGAAAACCCTTTATACTCTCATCCCCAGCCGGCCGAGCTTAAACTCATTGTTTAAAGAGAACTCTATACAACGACTGTTGTTCTTTCTAGTCAACCTATAGAGGGAACACGGAGGCGGGTGCACAGCTTTGTGTGCATCGAAAGCCTCCTCGAGGAGCAGTAAAGTCTCGCAAACATATTTCTCCAGCCCCGCATTGATATTGACCGTAACACTAGTAAAATAAAGTCATCAGTGATGACAATTTAGTATTTCTTAGGTATGAGTGGGACTTACTAGGGCTCCTAATCCTTGAGGTGCACCTAGAGCTCTTAGTGGTAGAAGCAAAGCTATACTGAAAACATACTGGAAGAACTGCATTGT